GGAACCTACACTCTGTGTACCCTGTGCAGCACCCTCAGGCTTTCCAAAAGCAGGTCCCACTGTGAGCCAGCCGGTCACACACAGGCTCAGTCCTATCAGGGTAGAAACACAAATTGTCTCTTTCGGGGGCGGGGCGTGGCTTAGGACTTGGTAAGTTGGTCTATAGAGCAATACATCGAAGTGGCAAGCACTGGCCTGTATTTCTGGATCCTCATCTTCTCACCCCTGGGTGCCCTGGTCTCTGCTCGGTTCACCTGTGGCTCTGCCTCTCTCCCTGCAAGGCTTAGGGGGGGGGGTTAAGGTGACTTCGCTGTGCTCCAGTGAGTTATAGCGATTGTTAAGATGCAGCGTTTTCACCCTTGACTTGGAAAATAGGTTGAGAACAGATTTCACTGACGTAGTACTCCAGCATTGCTTATTTTCGAGTCTTGCAAACATTGTGACCAGCCAGCTCATGAGGCTGGAGGATGCATTCTTTCCTGAAAGGTTGCTTGGCTCTTTGTTCAAAGAAACCTCTGCGAGGGAGTTTTGTGCATCTTCAATATTCGGGACGAAGCGTTTGGATCCCGCCTAGTTGAATTCTTTTCCAACAAGATTCCCAGCCCAGTGGATATAAATGTCTTTTGTGCTCTGCTATTGGTTTGCCAGGTTTGAACCAGAAATGGACACAGAGAGGACATAGTTTAGGATCAAGGTAGATTCTTATTACACTTATGAGAAGGCAAATGCACAGCAAGATTTGGAGCGGCGGTGCCTGCCAGGGGCCCGGGGTCTAGTCCCTGACCGCAGCCGCTGAGCGGCAGGACGTGCTGAGGGAAACCTGGCAGGAGGGCTTCAAAGCGCAAAGTGAGCACTTCAGTTTGATCTGTGCTATGGGAGATGTCACCTAGTGTTCTGCTTTTTCACTCGGTGCTCTGCTTTTTGTTTGGCTCTTTCTACATCTCCATCTCCTTTCAGCATCTCTCGCTTCTTGCAGGGAGAGGGGAAGGGCAGGTCGGAGAAAGCAAGGGAGAAGGTGAAGGAAGGTATCAGGACAAGACTGCCTCTGGGGAAGTTCCTTTTATAACGTAAGGTGCAGATAAGTCGGATTGTACCCACGGTGGGGACATTGGGAACGAAAGTGGATACAGCACGGGGACCCAATCTGTGCCTCTCAGATCCTTGAAGGTGTGGACGTATTGCCTGTGGTTATCAATCAATACGTGCCATGAACAATGTCATTGTTGGATTGGAAAAATAATATTTGTCATTTATTTGTGCAATTGCTTTTCCAATATAACAAAATATAAATTCGTTTTTAAATGTTAATAAATTCATATGAATGCATGACTTTTCTGTTTTTGATCCGTTATACAATATATCATAGTAAAAGTAATGGTACCATCATGTGGATGTCTAGGGGGAAAAGGGGGCCTTTTTCCATCAAAATTTGTAAAAATGGGAGTAGAAAAGTTCTGACATCTTAGAAGGACCAAATGCTATGTTGAATAAAGGGATCCATAATTTTCCCAAATACAATAGATAATCTATCTACACAATATAAGCTTATAAACTTGACATTGGATGGATTGGTTTATTCATGAAAATGGGCTACTAGGAATTAGCCTCTTTTATTTCTTTGAAAGCCAATTGTTCGTCATCAGGTGGGTATATTTTTAAAAAGTAAAATGTAAACAAGTGTCTTTTAGGAAAACAGTACATATTAAGTGCAAAAGCAAAAAATACAGTAAGCAAAAGGGAGAAATAAACTTCAAACTTCTATCACTCAAGATATTCACTATTAATACCTAGGTGCGTATCCTTCTAGAACTTTAAAAATATACATGTTTATACATATTATTAAAGAATCAAATAAGATCTTAATCTAGACTCTGTTAATAACCTCTTATCTTTTCCATTTACCAGCTTAGCATTGTCATCTTTCCCTGAGAAGACTGCTAAAATTTGGAATTCCCTACTCAATCATTTTCAAAGGAATCTGTGATTTAGGTAAATCTAGGTTTTTAGAGAGCAGAAGGGAATTCTTATGCTTCTTTCGAAATCGTGCCTGGGAGGTATAAGTTAACACGATTGCACAGAAATGTTTCTGTCTCAGCCTCCTCCCACGTACATAATTATGATTTCTTCCCTTCTGCCACTGTTCTTCTATGCTTTTCATTCATTGTCTGTGATTAAAGCCCCTTTAACGAAAGGCTAGAGAATTCATTCTAATTGAGGATTCATTTAAAGTTCACTGGCCTGGACTCACATTTCTAATCTTTCACTGCTTGTGTCCATTCACTAGATGCCTTTAGTAATACATAGCTTCCTATTCCTGTGGTTCTTTAAAATCCTATAAAGACTCGAGGAGTGAATAGACATCAAATAGCACTCTACTATTCCACAGAGTTTAGTTTAATTGTGATAGGACTATGCAAACTAAATTTCCATTAATAAAAATATAAGCTTGCAAATGATTGACTCTGTAATGTTTTCATGGGCTAGAACCTTACAAAGGGCAAACTATGTCTTCATAGGATACCTTTTAGACTAAAGAACAGTAAAAAGGACCCAGAAAAGGGTAAAAAAAATAAAGGCTTTGGACAATACTATCTATAGAGAAACTAACAGAATTGGAATTGTATTCATTGCCTTTGGTAAATGGCTGTTGGTGATTACAGTTACCGTGGTCAATATGTTCTATGGTGGATTGTGACCAACTGTTAGTGTGGACAAAACACAGAACAAGAACTGAAAGCCTTACAACAAATACTTAGCTAATATTCCTAAAAGGGGATTTTTTTAAAAGGCCATTTGTTAGAAAGACAGTGGATTTGATGGAAAGTACATTGGAGCAGTTTGAAGTCTGAGTATCTCGTGGGCACCGGCACTGACTCACATGTGATCCTTCCTGTGCCCCGTTAGCTCCCCGCAGGAGTTTACTCGTCGTTATCGTTACGATAGAACGATGGAGCAAAGAGATGGCTACTATTTCATCAGCCCCAGCGTGCTTCCGTCAGGGTAGCATTATTCTCACCCAGCATGGCAGAGCCTGGGTAAGTTGCCTTCTCCAACATCCATCTTCCTATTCTGTCTTAGAAACAAATCCTGATACTTTCAACTGAGCACACTCTGTCCTAGAATAAAAAAGACTACACTTACGAGTTTTCTTGGGGCATGGTGTACTCATGTAACTCTGGTCTGGTAAATGACATGAAAGCGACGAGTTGCCCAGGAATTGTGAAAAGGTAGCTCAAAGGGAGCAGACTCAGCTTCAAGGGGTGCCTTTTGTGCCTTGCTTTTTCTCCTTTAAGCCCAGGAGGCAGATGTCCTGGCTTAAGCGACAGAAGCCACTTTGTAACATCAGGTGACCTTGGGAATGGAAGCCATTGTCCAAGTGATGGAACAAAGGCAACAGCAGAGTCACCGTCTACATCTACACGGAGGTCTGCTCTGTGCTTTCACACGAGAGATAAGTACATTTCTACCTTCTTTAGTCCACCGCTAATTTTTCTTTTCTGTTGAAAACAGCTATATCTGATCCTAACTTGTGCAATCTATAAAATGTGATTACTTGTGGTTTTAAAATAACTGTAGCTACCAATTATTTTACACTTAGTAGATGCCAGACACTGTGCTAAGTGTTTAATGGACAATAAGGATACTTATGAGGTAGATACTATTATCTATAATTTACAAATGAGGAAATGGAGGCTTAGAATGATTATATAGTAGCTACAGGGTCAGGCAGCTCATAATTGACAAAGCCTGGATTCTAAACCAGGTTGGGAGCACTCCAAAACTTGTGCTCTCAATCACTATCATCAGTTTAATGCAGCTATCATTCTCTGTGGGTAAAAGATGGTGCTCTTGTCTTACGCATGACTATACGAAATGCACAAGGAGCACAGTGTTAGCTAAGGTTTCTAAAGAACCTTATAGAAGTGTCAAGATATAGATAACATCCAGAGCAATCTGCACCCTGAGCAAGGCTGGCAACAAAGACCCAGCTTGCCTGCCGTAACACAGATACTGACAACTTCCCAAGCCTTACCTAGGTTATCAAACATTTTACCTTCATAAGAGATTTGTGAAATGGAAATGACACTACCTAATATCAAAAATCGTATTAGGGATTAAATATGATGATCTATGTAAAATGTAGAGGAGAGCTCTAGGTATACAATAAATGCTCAGTAAATGGTACCTGACAACACTATCATTTAAGGGCTTGATAGTGATGTTATGGAAATTTTGGGGAGTCAGAAATAATAGGTTCAAATACATCCTCTGCAAGTTGGTAGTTATGTGAACATGGTTCAGTCATTTAACTTCTTGGCATCTAATTTTCTAAGGAATTGATTACTTATTTTATAGAATTGTTCTTGAAGATAATGTCTTTAAAGTACCCATCCCCTTGGCTGACATAGTTTAGAATCCCAGCCAATGGAAGTATTAATATTATCAATATTATTCTCACAGCATTCTAATAAACATACTTACCAATAGTTACTTTTCCCTTGGTCTATCAGCTCGCATGGGAGGGAGTGTCCCCTACCGGGTGTCTCTGGTTAGGGGCAGACAGCGGCAGTACCTACCGTCCTGTACTGGGGCAGGCAGTACCATGGGCGATTCTACAAGTCCTGTCAGACTGCTCTGGAATTCAAGTTCGTCTCCCCCAGCTTTTGTCTGTGGTCACGGCTTGGTCTCCGTTCTGCCTCTACACTGCAGCCACGGCCAGTCCACGCTCAGCAGGACAAGAGGAGGACTGTTTTGCGCCTACTGAAAACACAGCGCCTAATTGTCGTGGGAGAGAACCACCTTCACAGGTGCTATTCTGGAAGGCGTGTGCTCCACGGGAGAACATTTTCATATATTTCTCTTGGCAGATTTTCACTCTTTTGACAGCTGTGTTTCATAATAAAACAGTACAGAATGAAAACAAGAGTTTTCTTACACAAATATCACTTATTTAGTTCTGACACTAACAATTTGTTTAGAACTTTATTAGAAAGTCATCTTCGATTTTTAGGAACTCACAACCGTCGAAGCCTCATGCAAAGTTCTAAACTGGCAGTTTAGAAGTTTCTGCGTCTCCTTCTCCATGTCAAGTTTTATCTTAGGCTGAAATACTCACATACAATCTTTTCCATTTTAAGATGTCTCAAATTGCTCCCATCCTTCATGGGAAACACAGGCTCTAAACTGCGACTTTTAGGCTGCTAGTGATAAAGGAATCAGCAGGGAAGGCCTGGAGGAAAGGTGCCCAATCACCTCACTCTTCCCAGCTCTCCTGTCCTGGAGGTGGCCTCAGGAAAGGGCTGCTCTGCCTGGGCAGAGGGCAGGAGCTGCGGAATCCACGATAGCCCATCCGAAGTCATCTTCCCAGGTGGCAGCACAAACAAAGCCAGACACCACAGTGCTTTCCAAGGAGGTGAGCCCTTTCTTGTTTCTTTAACTGCTATTTTCAAAACTCCAAACAAAAATTAAGTTGTGCATACATGAAAAATAGCCTACACAAGAAATAATTCTCTTTTCAAAAAAGGAAGCAGGTTTTCTGGGAGGCAGGGTATGTGTGGGGTGCGGTGAGTTCTTAAATTGTGGTTTTTGAAATCAAGATCAACGTTCTTTGATAATCAGCTATGTGTCAATCAGAAAGGCTGAGATTGCAACACCAGATAAAGGTGTGAAGGATTTGGTGGTGTAACCGTGTGTACGTTCTTTTTGATATCTGCATCTTTTTTGAAGGAAAAATGTCAAGTTTTGTTTTGGTGTTGTGGCAAAATTTCAGAAGACCTTACTTGCTTATTTCTCCCTTTCTGCTGCTTCTTCTGTTACCAATATCCTGAGTTACTCGTGCTGCCCCTACAAGGATGACAGCGGGAACAGCAGTGGCGGTAGCCAAGCCTAAAATGGCCAGGCTGCGAGACAACAGGGCCCTGGACTTCACAGTGAGCTCCCTGTGTTCCCCGCAACACCTGCCGTCATTGCCGTGTGTGCTACTGCTGGGCCTCTCTGATTTCTTATTTCTTGGGGCTCCCATAGCAATTTGTACTAACTCGATTTTAGAATTTATCAAATAGCGTTATAACTGGCTATTTATGTCTCTTTGATCCATATGGTTTTTGATGGCAGAAAACACTGGTTCAGTAAATTTTTTTGTTCCCCTCCTCCCGGGTGACTAGAATACTACTTGGTACATAGTAGGTATTCAATAAATTTTTACCGAATAAGTGAAAGCTCTCCAGGCTATAGCAATCACAGTAGACAGAGATTCTTAGATTGAAATTAGATTTAACATTTGATCTTTTAGAAAATAGTGAAAGTATTCCAACAATAATGGAGTATAATACCTAACCTTTAATAAAGGAGATGTTAGTCCTTTCGTGTGACATATAGGTGTTTGTTAGACCCAGGGATTAGCTTTCTTTTTAACATGAATGAGCTAGCCCAGCAGACTGTGTCTGGATGCAATGCTCTAGCTCACTCTGGGTCAATACCAAATCATTGTCCTTCCATTTTGCCTCCTCCCAGATGTCCTTCGGAGCCCTTACCCTAGTGCAGCATCAAAGAGAGGGCTGGGTACAGTGTTCCACTTCCATGGAGAATCTCTGGTTCAAACGTAGACCACTAATGCCCAGTAAGTCCCTTAATCTATACATTTAAATGCTTGGTAGTGACTTTCTTTGTTTCTACCTCTGAATCTTTAAGAAATACAGCCCTTCATGGACGTGGCATTGCTTCTTGGAGATACTGACCCTGAGTAAGTTAGGGCTGCTCTTGGGTACTGCTACAAGCTGGCCACCCAGAGAATGTCTCCTGCTCACTGAATGAGCCGAGTCTCTGCTTTGCTTACCAGGCTGGTCTAAGTGCATATGCAGAAGGCATCAGTGCTGAGGAAGCTGTCGGTTGCCCCCCTGCCCCAGACCCACCTTTAGAACAGGGGCACCGATTCCACCAGCTTCTTGGAATGCTGACAGCTGAAGGGTTGGCGAGCCTTTGCTGCAAACTGCACCTCCATTCACATGGTCCATTGGCTTCCATGTTCCATGGGTATCAATTTGGAGGGAATCTCCCCAAAACCTCCTGCATGCACGTCTCATCTCAGATCTGTTTCTTAGAGAACCTCACCTAAGACAGGGAGCAACTCTAAGCTTCCTGCACAGCCAGACTTACTGATGGGTTTAGGGAATAAGGGAGGGAGAGAGAGAATGAAATGGGTAGCATCTAGACTCATGACAACTAGTTCTGCAGGCACATGTTCAGTCTGGGGCACTGAATCTGCCAGTCACCGGGAGGACTCTGGTGTTAGCTTTAGCCTAAGCCCTCTTACAAACTAAGATCTTTTAGTCTTAACCAAAGAGAACTTCCTGAACTGAGGTCTGTAAAGCATTCACAAAATCCAAATCTTCAGGAATCACAGTAGGATAATAAAAAAGCAAAATTTTTAGCTTTAAGGAAACTCAGATTCAAATTCTTGTTCTGGCAATTATGAGATGAATGATACTAGGCTACTTATTTTATCATTCTGATTTTTAGTGTCTTCTTCTGTAAATAATAATAATAAAAGTCCCCTCACATGACTCTTGTGACGTTCAAGGACAGAAAGTTTATGCAAAGACAATGCCTGAGATCTAAGAACACACAGGACTTTTTAATTAAGACATTTTTAACTCTTGGTTTACATACGCTGCTTACCTTTTGTTTAAAGACTTTGGGGGACAGGCTTAAAATCCTCCTCTCAAATTAGTTAAGTTTTAGTAGATTTTATTACAGAAAACTTATTGTTACAGCTAAACAAAAATCATCAGTAGTAGTTTCTTCTCTTTTCTCCTTCATTCACTCTTTCTCTGACCATTCTTCTAGCACATTGCACATTTTCTTTAACCTAAAGTTAAAAGATTCATTTGAATTCCCAGTGAATTAACCAAATTCTGTTCATCTCCTTTTGGTGCTTCCCTCTGATCTAAAGAAAAAAAGTTTTATAATGAGATTCATGAAAACCAACATTTATCTCTGACTTCTTCCTGCCCCCAATGCTTTTAAAGCAGTTAAAGATAGGAAAGCCTGCTTATACTCATACTTTTTTTTAGAATTCTGTAGTTTCCTTTGTGGAACCGTAAGCCTGTCTTGGGCACACATTGCAGTTTCTGCGCTCATGCAAAAGACGTGTGTAAGTGCCACACACAGACACCCTGTGCCCCGGCTGGGCACCTTGCACAGCCCCTGGGGTTCCGAGTGAGCAAACGGTGGCCCTACTTTCTCTTTGCTCTTGGGCATGAGTGGACTGTGGTCACGATCATCTCCTTTTCCTGAGGACCACCGTCTCAGGTTGTCCCCATTCCGCCTTAAAGAAAGTGCCAATGTCAATTGCTTCCTGACGGAGAGCGTCATAAAGCAGAGGGCAATGGCCTCCTCTCAGAACACCGTGCAGGATGCCGGCCTCTGATCGTACATGCGCTGACTTCTCCCTCCTCTTCTTCTTTAAAGGTCCCATATAGATAACTTTCAAGGCAGTGACACGAGTGATACGCATGCCAGCATCTTTTAGGTTGAGGTGGCAGATACGAGAGAGATAAAGGTTAAATATTAGTCTTAGCCAGAACTCTACTCCACAGTTTTTATTCACTTATTTTTATGTTAGCTTTTGTGCATGTGGACAGAGGCGAGGGAAAGGGAGAGGAAGAGGTGGTGGCAGAGAGGACAGTGACACTTCCCACGAGGCTGCTTCCCGCAGGTGCTCAGGGGCCTGGTGCAGGCTGCGTGGCCAGCGCCCAGCCCCACCCAGCAGACAGCTTCCTCCCCTCTGCTCTCTGCTCTTGCACTTAGACTCGCACTGGGTGTGCTTTTCTGCCAGTGGGCATTCAGAAAGCTGGCTCAGTCTCCACCCCAAATCCATAATCTCATTTTTCAAAAATTTTAAATCAAAAACTAAAAGGAAAAATTCATTTTGGGGGGAGTTAGTTCTTTTCACAAGGTTAGTTTGTGCCCATTACCCACTGATAGGAGGACGATTTGAGCAAACGATCACATTTAATTAGAAAAGGAAAGAATGAGGCTTAGCTAGTAATGATGATGGACAATTGGAGTAATTAAAATTATTTTTGAAAAGCAGTGATTTCTTTTAAATTAAAATATGCCCAGAAGCTTATTTATATTTTATATATATTCAAATCACTTTTTTGCTATTCAGTCTCTCTCATTTTAAACCATTTGTGAGCTGACTTTTCCATTTGTGCTAGAGGATGTTCTACATCCCAGAATAATAATTTAGAATGTCCCATAAATACTTTAAAATTTATGAGAATATCTCTCACTGGCTAAACCACAATTCCTTTAGTGTAATAACTGTGGAAAAGAATAGCAGAATTCTAGGGAAGATAGTTCTTGGTTTTAACTTCTTTATGTTCAATAGCTTTATTATTGTTGAAATTCCCCAAATTAAAATGCAAAAGCACAGCTTCTTGGCTGGGCTTGATTACTTAACCTTAATAAAATATAAGGGTCTGTTTCATTAATCAGAAACATACCAGACACAGTGCATGAATTTTATCTTCCACTTTGTCCTTTGTATTTCAGAATGATAATAATAATAAAATAAAATTCTTAGGTTAGGCAAGCCAGAAAATCATATTTTCTTTGTTTCTATCATGTTCCTATGTAAAATGGATTTCTCAGACAGACTAAATGCCTTAAGGGGCAAAAATTCCTATGGTCCTGTTCTCTGGAAATCTTTAAAAATAGAATAAACTTTCATTTGTCTGGGTGTGGTTTCAGTACAGTCTGTCTTTGGCAGGGGGATTGTTTAGCTGACTTGCTGATGTTGCTTTAAGCTGCATGATCACTTAGGTGGAGAATTTTCCCTTAATCCTTGCCAGATTTAATTTATCACAACCATACATGTTTTTATGGATATAGTAAAACAAAAATCGGGTGCAATCTTCTTTTCCATTGTAAAGTAATAAAACAGTTTATTTCTCAAATTCGAGAAAGTAAAATTAAATCAGGAACATGTATGATGTTTTCCCTTTCCTCAGATTTCTACTAAAAGATAGTGAAATGTGATAAATCGCATGCTATTTCAGGCAATATCTTTTCAAATGAGTGGACCAAACCAGCAAAACGGAACCACATGCTTGGTGAGGGCCACCTTCATGTCAATCGTGTGAATCCGAAGCTGGGCTGGACAGACAGATGCAACCGGCCAGCCCAAGGTGTGCTGGCGGGTGGTGCGGAGGCCACCTGTAGTGGGAGGGGGTGATGAAATGACTTTGCAGGTCTGGTTATACCCTGTGTTGGCCCGGTCCCCATTGTGCATGCATCACTCTGTCCTCCTCCCAGACACGCCACGGCAGCCACAAGCTCCCCGCTGTCCCATCCCCCCTTCTTGGAGTGATATGTTACATAAGTTTTCACTTTCCTAAGAAATGCCGAAGAAAAGAGTAGTGTTATCATTCCAGCACATCAATCATTAACAGACACCTGCATGCCTTCACGCTCGCGCGCACACACACACACACACACACACACACACACACACACAGAGGCATAACAACAGATCACTTCTTATTTTTATTTATTTATTTTTTAGACAGAGTCTTGTTCTGTTGCCTGTGCTAGAGTGCGGTGGAGTGAGCCTAACTCAATGCAAACTCACACTTTTGGGGTCAAGTGATCCTCCTGCCTCAGTCTCCCGAGTAGCTGGGACTATAGACACGTGCCACCCACACCCTGCTAATTTTTTCTATTTTTAGTGGAGATGAGGTCTTGCTCTTGCTCAGGCTGGTCTCGACCTCCTGACCTCAAGCGCTACTCCCACCTCGGCCTCCCAGAATGCTAGAATTATAGGCGTCAGCCACTGCTCCTGGCCGGATCACTTTTTAAAAACTATATTTTAGCTATAGTCAAATTCAAAATCATATTTATTCAGGCATATGCCAATTCTTTTTTCTCTGTTTCAGGAAAGATTTCCGAAGTTCGTTTTTAACAGCTTTATTGTGGCATTATTTATTTACCTAAAAATGCATTTGTTGTATAGCTTCAATGCAGTGTTTTTTAGTGAGTTTCTGAAATTGTGTAACCATCACTATAATTCAGTTTTAGAATGTTTCCGTCATGACAATATGTTCTCTGGGCCCTTGTGCCGTCCAACCCCCTCCTGTACTCCCAGTCCCAGGTAAGCACTAAGTACTTTCTGCTCTATGGATTTGCTTTTTCCAAAAATTTTATATAAATCAAATCATGCAGTATGAGGTCTTTTTCAAATGCATCTTTCACTTAGCATAATATTTTTGAGGTTCATCTGTATTATAGCGTGTATCAGTAGTTTGGGTCTTTTCATTGTTGAAAAGTATTCCAATATATGAGTATGCTACTTTTTTTAAAAAAAAAAGAATTCTCCAGTTGACAGACATTTGGCTTGCTTCCAATTTATGGCTGTGATGAATATACTGCTTGTGAATATTCACATGTAAATCTTTGAGTAAACAAGGATTCTTCTTTCTCTTCTTGGATATCTATCTACTCAAGAGCGTATGACAAGTGTTTATGTTTAACTTTTTTAAAGAAATAGTGTTTTCCAAAATTAGTGTATTTTTTTACATTCCTTTCAACAATGTAGAGTTCCAATTTCTCCACACATATTTGCCAACACTTATTATTGTCTGGCATTTGATTATCATCATCTTAGAGGGTATGAAATGGTATCTCAGAGTGGTTATGATTTACAAAATTACTTAATGACTTTGGATGTTGATTACCTTTTCATGTGCTTATGCATTTGTATATCATCTTTGCAGAAATGTCTATTCAAATTCTTTATCCATTTTCATTTTCGTTCTTATTTTTTATTGTTTTTATTCTTTTTCATTTATTGAAACATAATAGGTATACATATTTTGGGGTACATATGGTATTCCAATACATTCATATAATAAATAAAGGTTAATCAGGGTTCTTTATCCATTTAAAAAATTTTTTAATTATTAAGTTGTAGAAGTTCTTAATATATTCTAGATACAAGTCTTTTATGAGGTATATATTTGAAAATGTTTTTTATCAGTCTGTGGTTTGTCTTTTAATTTTGAATGTGTCTCCTGAAAAACAAAAGTTTTTCAATTTTGATGAAGTTTAATTTATCAGTTTTTCTTTTATATGTCATGATTTTAGGATCACATCTAAGAAATCTTTGGCTAACCCAATGTCAGATATTTTCTCTCACATTTCCACTAGAGTTTTTATAGTTTTAGCTCTCACATTTAGGTCAATGATCTGTTCTGAGTTGATTTAAGGATCTATAATTTTTTTTTTTTTTTTTTGGTATATGGACATCCAATTATTCTGGCACTGTTTATTGAAACAATTATCCTTTCTCCATTGAATTTCTTTGGCTCTTTGTCAAAAGTCAATTGATTGTAAATATAAGGGTTTATTTCTGGACTCTGTATTCAGTTCCATTGATCTATATGTCTATCTTTATGAGCGTCATACTGCCATGATGATGGTAGCTTCACAGTAAGTTTTGAAGTTTAGTAATGAAAGTTCTCCTACTTAATTGTTCTTTTGTAAGCAGAGCCTCATCATTACCCTGGTGCTACTCCTTTCACTATAGGCAATGGTTCAAGTGCTACTCCTGAAAAAAATTATGAAAAGGGAGATCATATCTGGGTTCGTGGATATGGAACTGGACCTGACAAATGTAAGTTATGGCAAGTCCAAACCATTTCAGACACTGAATGAGAGACTAGCTTGTGCTAGTTAGATTGTGCTACACAATAAAATGCCTCAAAGCTAGTGGCTTAAAAGAATCATTTATTTAGCTCACAACTGTATGGGTCAGCAATTTGGGATGTGCTTAGCTTGGATGGAGCAGGTCTTCTCCTAGCCTGTCACATGTCTGTGGTCAGCGGCCAGGCACCTGGGGAGCTCTGCTCTGAGTATTCTGGGCACAACCCTGTAAGTAGAGTTGACTTGCTCCGGAGATGTAACACTTGGATGAGTAGCTTTAGTTCTTTGGACCTGTATTTATGGATTAAATATACTCTTCAGGTCAACCAGGAACACCAGCCACCACTTACATATATATTGGGGGAAAAAACCTAAGCGAATAGTTTTACAAATACAATCCATTTTTAAGTTGGAATTAGTCTGAGTTATATTTATTTCAGAATATATAGAAAAAAGCTGGATTTATATAAAAACTATGATATATTTTTTTTAGCCAAACTAACCAATTAATTCAATTTCATGTAGACAGTGCAACAAGGTTTCTTGTTTTTCTCCTTGATCTGATAAGTTTGTGAGTGGAAAGTACTATTTTGGTGCATTATGTTGGGATTGCAGGTACGGAATTGGACCTGATGACTTTGAGTGATGGCAAGTCCAAACCATTTCAGGCACTGAGTGAGTGAGACACTAGTGTCTCAGTGATCCTTTGTCCTGGCTGCCACGTTATGAAGGGAGCTTCTGGGAAAACGCAAGATGCTGAGATGGAAGGAGAAATTCACTTTAAGTGGCCAGTATTATGATAGAAGGTTATGGCTCTTTCAAATCAAATTATTTTAAAAATAGACATTTATCGTCCTTGGTCAGAGATAGGCATTGTTGCTGCTTTCTGGTATGGTGATTTAAGGGAGTCACTTGCAAGCTTCAGGTTCTGTTTAAATTTGTGGATAAAGCAAGAAAGATGATGCCTGATAAGGATGAGTTGCTTCGTTAATTAAATTACCAGTGGAAATTTTACTAGCTTTAATTAGTGTAAAATAAGCCACAGAAATAAAGACAGTGATTAAAGCCTGCTAATCTGATTAGAATCACAATCTGAATTGTCATAGGGCTACTTGATAATAGAGAATCACCAGACTGAGGCGTAGAAAGATGCGGGACCTGTTTCAAAGAAGAGGATGGTTGTGAACGGCGCATACACACCTGGAGCTGTCAGATTGCCAAATTGTTTGGGGGTGGGTGCGGCGGATCATGCCTGACATACGCCATGAAAATCGGGGGCATCCTTGAACTGAGAAGAGCCGCCTTCCTAGGAGGAGGAGCTGAATCTAACCCCATTGCTTTCACTAGCACAGGGAGATGTGAGCCAGCCCGTCCCAGCCTCTCCGAGTTTCAACACATGAAAGTCTGCAGAGCAGAAGGACTGTCCTTTCTCTAATCCTGACCTACACAACGAAAGTAGTGTTCCTTTCAGATGTGTACACAAAGGAATATGTCCAAGTGTCTCGTGTATTAAAAGAAATGCTGTTTCATTAAATTCAATGCAGTACAAATCAATCATTAAATTATCATGTAAAGCCTTTCCAATGCTCAGGTCCTCAAGTCTAAGTTAGCAGAAACCAATTTAGCTTATGAGTGTAGATAGATGGAAACTTTGCGTTTTCTTTCCACTAGTTCTCACCTATTCCCCATTTCCTGGTTTGTAAAATTTCCAATTGCCCCAAAGGCTGAATGTTAAAACAGGTAATCTGTCTTCGTCATTTTTTCTATGTGTCTGTACAGTACATTGTTTATGAGGTTTTAATAATACTTAGATATTCCTAAACCAACAGAAACCATAACAAATATTTTCTATTAAAACAAATAGTAACCAAATTTTAGCAGATACTCAATTATACATTAAATAAAAACAGTATAGCTTGTATTGATTTAGGCTTCTGATACTTGGCATTGACTATTTTAAAGTTTTATTCCACTGTATGGTTTATTGTAAGAATAGATTTTCCTTCAGTTTTGCAAATGCTGAGATGGAAGGAGAAATTCACTTTAAGTGGCCAGTATTATGATAGAAGGTTATGGCTCTTTCAAATCAAATTATTTTAAAAATAGACATTTATCGTCAATTTGATGGCATGGGTTTCAACCACAATTCTGTCACCATGCCCATTGAAATGATGTAGTTCAAAATAAAACATTATTCACTATGGATTTTTTATTAAAAGTATCTGCTAAGAGAAAAGAAATTTCTTTGGTATTCATGGCTAGAAAACTAAAAAGTGGGATGAACAATTGCCAAAAAGACTTGGATTAAAGGTATTCATTCTTTACATGTACCTAATTTATTAATTATAGATCACAATACACAATTTATGGTTCTCACAAAATATTATGCGAAGTTCAATTTCAATCTTGAACTATCATGTACATGGTAACAGAAATAATGTTTAATATTGTTTTCAGCCAATGAATACTTGTTGAGAAGCTCAAAGATGCATTTTTCGTCCTGTGTGTTTGGTGTCTTTTAAAAGGGATATATATGATCCGGTGAAGAGATGGACTACTTACTTGTCTGTCTTGGATTTTTAAGAGACCTACTGATAAGGTTGGATCAATACAGACACTTAAAGACACAAACAGTAACTAGGTTGAACGTTGGATGTTCCTATAAGTTCAGACTGTGTTCTCTCCTTTCCTCCCTCCCTGCTCAATCTGAAAGCCACTAGGTGGGCTGAGTGAGAACCTGCAGAAACCTGCAAGAGGGGAGGCAGCCACACAGTGTGGTGCAGTTGCCCCAGGCTGCTCAGGAACAAGCAGGGTTTCTGCACAGGGAGGGGGCAGATGAGGTGCTTCTGGAATTCCCAGTGATGGAGGTTGAGTCCGAGCAGGTGAAGAGGTCCCCCTTGCAAGGAGGCGAGGCTCTGGTGGCCCAGTAATGCAAGTGGAAGGCAGACTTGGGAGGGGAAAAAGTCCATAGGTTGAGGCAGATGACTGTGCTCTGGCCTTGACGCAGGGAGTTGGAGCTCCAGTGTGTGCAAAGAGCTTGTGCATGGCCTGGCCAGAGTACTGGAGCCCAAGAGCGGGAACAAGGTTGCCTGGGTGAGGGGCGCTGGTGGTGCCACCCACCATGGGTCATGAACCTGAGAGCGGGGTGAGGAGGGCATCTTGGCAGCAGCCTGCATGCATGAGTGTTGGAGCCCCTGCCGTGTGAGGACAGCCCCTGTGCCGGGAGCATGGCGGAGGGGCAAGAGTTTGATATAGCATCTGCATGAAGACTGGGAGTCCCATGGGTCCCCAGGGGGGTGGGGTGGGGGTGCTGAGCGCATAGATAAGCATTATGAAGATAAAAGGAGTCAGGTTTCTCACTGTTGGAAACAGGGAAAGGGAGAAAACCTGGAATGAATCTTACAGCATTAGATTGGAATTGTAGATATTGGTTTAAACTCGTGGGCTTCA